GGACTTCAAAAAWATGCCAATACTTAAAAAAAAAAAAAAAAAARTWGTCGGAAARAAAAAAAGMAWGTGCACGCACTCTGAAGATGCATCGTTCAGCACACAGCCACAATCGGAGCATGCAAAATATAGAACACAGCCGCGTTTGCCATCCATTTAGCTGAGGGGATTGAGGAGATGTTGGACATGGTGCATCCTCAAAAGTCTCACTAATGACAGAGAGGAGAGCGGACGCAAGGTTTATTCAGCTCTTTTATTCACTGCATGACTTGTGCAAAAATGGCTTTGCGCGCTCGGAATCTGGCCTCCGCTAAAACAGTCTCTTGCCTTTTCTCAGACCATGGAACCTTGCCTTCGCTAAAACAGTCTCTTGCCTTTTCTCAGACCTGGGAACCTTGCCTTCGCTAAAACAGTCTCTTGCCTTTTCGCAGACCCGTACAGAAATTGGATGATGACCCAAAAGAGAAGCATCAGCCCCGTACAGAAATGGGATGATGACCGAAAAGAGAAGCATCAGCTCCGTACAGAAATGGGATCATGACCCAAATGAGAAGCAAGAACGTCTGAGGGAAAGACAGGAGCCAGCTTCCAAAAGCCTTCAAGCGTGGACTTGTGTACTTGTGCAGTGCCGTCGTAGAGAAATGGGATGATGACCGAAAAGAGAAGCATCAGCTCCGCACAGAAATGGGATCATGACCCAAAAGAGAAGCAAGAACCCGTGAGGGAAAGAACAGGAGCCCTTTCCAAAAGCCTTCAACTGAGGACTTGTGTACTTGTGCAGTGCCATCCCACTCTCAGTTGGATAGATTACACAAGTCTGTCTTGACATGCAATGAAATCCGAGGTTGCCACGCAGAGGCTGCGTAGTTTGTTCAGAAATGCACAGCCTATTCTGCTCCTAGTTCAACTTCATTCTGTTGTTGTTGTTGTTGTTGTTAGGTCTAAGACCTCGCGCCCTCAATGCCTTAAATGGGCAACCTCGCGCCCTCAACGCCTGAAATGGGCAGTTCTCGACAAGCTTGCAAAGTGGATGGCCGCTACCGAGACTCCCAATTGAATCTAGCCCTTCAGTCAACAACTCAGCTGACAATGCAACAATGGAACAACACCTGCCAACTGATGGGTGGGCGGGATGAAACAGGAGATTTCCGACGCCCACGCAATCATGTGTCACATGCAGAAGATAGTGCACCAAGTGATTCCATTGATGAACCACTGTCTTCCCCCGAATAGAGCACGTGGTGATTACCACTTCATGTAGACGGAAATAGGAGATTTCTCACGCAATGTGTCACAGGCAGAAGATAGTGCACCAAGTGATTCCATTGATGGCCCACTGTCTTCCCCCGAATAGAGCACACGGTGATTACCACTGCATGTAGACTGAAAGTGATGGCTGTAAGACAGATGGCGATGAGCAAACGGCTTCGGAAAAAAACAACAACTTGAAGGCTCCAAGTCCGAGAATGAAACCCACGGCCGACTTGACAGAATGGAACAGTTACCCCACAGCTGACCGACAGTGACCATGCTGCATGTGACTATTGATGTGCATGAATGGTTGCCATCATGGAAAGCTCTGCCATGCTACTGACTAACCATCTTGTTGCCCTTGTGGGTAGCTCTGCGATGCTGCTGACCGTCTGTTGTTGCCTCAGCTTCGCTGGTGTTCATGAATGGTTGCCCCCATGGAAAGCCCTGCCATGCTACTGACCATGTTGTGGTTGCCCTCATTGGTAGCTCTGTCGTGCTGCTGACTGTCTGTTGCCTCAGCTTATTTTTTCCCTCCAAATTATGAAGGGTGGACTTCCGTTACCCTGACATTTGACGTATCGGACTGCTTGTGGCTTGAGACGGGACGACTTTGGCGAAGCTGCCAGCCTGGATGTGGCAGAAGCGTTCCGCTCCTCTTAGCAGAAGAACATATTCCTCCGCACAGGGTCTGCAACGAGCGTCAGAGGCCTTGGTTCCAAACTGGGACCTGTCTCCCCACTCCCACCACTCAAAACCGACGCGGTATCACCGCGCTCGGCATCCAGATAGAGACGCCAGCGGATCGCAGCAAGGTGCGCATAGTAAACGGGCGGCACTGCACAAGACAGCCATGAGGATTGTGGGTAGCAGGTTACTATCAGGAGTGCTAAGAGCTCAAAAAGTGACAAAAACAAAATTATACAAATCACAAACAAAATATGATTCACAGTCCCCGGGCCGCTGGTACACATGACACTCAGGCTGTCAATCTAATTAATGACTAGTATGCTTCAGCCTCATTTTCCTGATGCTTGATTTTGCTGTACCATGCATGCACCACTGAATTTGTCCTGGTTTCACAGCACATATCTGGGGACCACCAGCTTTTCTGGTCTGCTAGGCCGAATGTGACCACGACCCCTTGTATACCGGCGCTGGGCATGCGAAAGGACCAATGCACTACCGTCTTCACCCGAATATAACGCTCGGTCATTATAGCTGTATTTGACACACCTTTCAGCCCAGATACGGCGATAATTACCGGATGTTCTATTGGGGTGAAGACGGTAGTGACTGCGAAAAAGAAAAAGAAGCTCCTGGTGTTGCTGCGACTGCAGTCTTTCCAGCTAACTACAGGGCTGAAGTTGCAGGAGCAAGAAACGGGATAAAAAGGCGTTCCAAGCATGGGCCTATAACTCAGTTGGTTAAGTATATAGCTTTTTTTGGGGCTTTCTTTCAAGTCCAATGTCGATTGAAAAGCAAGTTGTTGTTATTTATGCGGCTGTCAAAGGTTATTTAGATCAAATTCAGATTTCGCAAATTCTCAATTCCCACTGCAGTGTGTGATAGGAGCTAGCCTAGTAGGTGAACGCATTGGACCGCCACGCTCCAGACATAGGGACAACAAAAAAAAAAAAAAAGAAGAAGGAAAAAAAAAAGAAAAAAAAGAAGAAGGCAGAGACCCCTCTCCGGTCATCGGATCAAAACTGATCCGAGATCCGAGGGCAGATTTCTCAACCCCATTTTTCATGCTAAGAAAAAGAGAAAAGCAAAAGGGAAAAGACATGGCATGCGGAGGAACAACAATCATGACTACATCTGCCACATCCATCAGATACTCGATCAGTACATCTTTGTCTCTGACAAAAAAACAAAGAAAAAAAGTCTCGTCTCTGACAGACCAGTCAGCGCTTCGCTTTTTCTCTCCGAGTGTCCAATCTTTAAGCTGAGTGGCTGACCCTACGTCTGCAGTAGGTGAAAATCAGCTTTATTATGTAGGGCACAAGGGATTCACAACAGGTGGGTGGGAAACTCTCAATGCACCAGCATCACAAGTATTGAAGAACCTGGGGGAATGGAAAAGGGGGTGGGGGGATGGTACAAATGTTTCTTTCTCCGTTCTGTTATTTAAAACTTGTTTTACCGAATAAATAATTGTGGGATCTAAAAAAAACAAAACAAAACAAAACAAAAAAACAAAA